GAACAGATTCTTTCATTTCAGTGGTTGGCTGAATGGGGTTGCAAACAGAGTATTTCATAAATAATCTATATTTCATACAATATGTAGTGAATAATTCAAAATAAAATATACATGTTATTACCTTCAAGGGAGGTTGTTTGTCAGAATACCCTAAAAAGGAAAATGGACATACAATTTATAGTAATGAATACATAATTGTAAACATGGCAAAGCCAACCACACATTCATAAAATCTGAATGCTCACACCGGACTTTGAAAATGGTAAGGTTCTTTCATTTTTTTTTCTTTTTTTTTGCTTTCCTAGTGTTAGGACAGCAACATGACGGAAGTATGCTGATATAAAATAGAGGGGCAGGGGTTCTCTAGCATGAAGTTAAAATCTCAAAAGTGAGATTATTTTCATGTTATTTTAATTAAAACGGAAATGTACACCTATACCAATTTGAACATGCTAGTCAATGATGAAAACAGTGATCTGCATTCCAAGAAGCAAATGATGACCCTGAGAGTATAAATGTCAAAGCCAATGGCAGAAGGCTGCAGGGTATCTTTAACACAACACATCAGGATCATCTATATCATCTCACTACAACTATTTTTCATGTACTTCAATTTATTTTGTAATTTTAGAGGTACACAGGTGTGAACTCACTTCAGGTGAATGTATAATCAATTTCACGTTAGAGAAACTGTTGTCAAATGATCAGCACCAACATATACTTTCACAATAATAGCTCATACAAACATTCCTTTTTCCCCATACATGTGAGCTACCGGTATACTGTCCTCATTTAAGAAAGAAAAATAAAGAGAAAGAAAAAAAAGAAAATATTCTCTATAAATAAAAAAAAGAATTCACAATTGCAAAGCTATGGAAACAACCCAAGTGCCCATCAATTCATGAGTGGATTAATAAAACGTGGTAGCCGGGCGTGGTGGCTCACGCCTGTAATCCTAGCACTCTGGGAGGCTGAGGCGGGCGGATTGCTCGAGGTCAGGAGTTCGAAACCAGCCTGAGCGAGACCCTGTCTCTACTAAAAATAGAAAGAAATTAATTGACCAACTAAAAAA